TGAACACAAATTATTGGCCCTCAGTTCTAGAGGCTGGGAAGTCCAAGACTGAAGAGCTGACATCTGGTGAGGGACTGACTTTGCTGCATCTGTACATGGTGAAAAGTGGATGGGCAAGAGTGCAAGAGAGTGGACCCATTCCTGTGAGCCCTTTCTATAATGGCATTCATCTATCTGGGAAGGCAGAGCCCTCATGACCTCCACATCTCACATTAGGCCCCGCCTCTGACATGTCACATTTGGCATTAAGTTTCTAACACAAATTCTGAGTGGCACATTTAAACCATAGAAGGGCTCATGGAGAAACTATATTTACCTGGCTCCTGGTTTCTGTATGTACAAAGCTGCTTTTCTGTAGTCTTCATACTTTGAGAAACAAGTTGGTTGGACACAAAATCCTTTAATCATGCTTTCTTTTCTTTGGTGAGTGTCTTGTAGGCTTTCTGGTAGTCTGATGTGATTATAAATTTTGCTGTGGAGTGGTCTGATTTTTCTCATACAAATGTCTCTTTACAAGGCTAGCTAAAAATATTTTTCTTCACCTTTTAAGTAGCATAGTTTATCTAGTTCTTACTGTTCCAGGTCCACTTTCCTAGGTAAAAGTGTGACCTGTCAATATATAGTCATACTTCCTTTGATTTCAAAATTTTTTCCAGTTTTTGTTTAAAATATTTACTCTTTTGTATTGTTTGGTTTTCTTATTTTCTTATAGGAATTATATGTATGTTGGATCTCCTTTGTCTATTTTTTTAAGAGAGATTTTTGCTATAGAGCATGTGCACTTGTCAGAGAGACAGAGAGACAGAAAGCAAGAAATCACTCCCCAGGGAGGATGGTCACACTGCAATCCCTTCTCCTCCATTCTTCTCTTAGGATTTTGGGCACTCATGCACATGTGCCCTGCATGAGTTTCAAACCTCTGGGTCCAGGACTTGAACCATGGTCAACTCCCACAGAGTTCTGTGGGATTCCAGCATCTTAACCACTATACCACCTCCTGGCCCCTCCCTTGCCTATCTTTTACATTTATCATGTTTGCTCTAATTCTTTTTTTCCCCAGTTTTTTTAAATGTAAAATATACATAAAATGAAATTTACCATGGTACTCATTTTTGATTATATAGCTGAGAGGTAATAAATACATCCTTTTTCTTTTTTTGAGAAATTTTTGCTAGAGGGCATGTGTGCTTGCTGGAGAGACACAGAGAGACAGAAAGTAAGAAATCACTCCTTTGGGGGATGATTATGTTACAATCCTTCCTCCTCCATTATCCTCTTGGGATTTTGGGCATGCATGCACACATGCCTGGCGTGAGTTTCAAGCCACAAGGAGCAGGACTCAGACCTTGTGTGGCCATGTGAGAATCCAGTGACATAACCATTATGCCATCTGCCGGTCCCAATAAATACATTCTTATTGCATACAACCCTTCTCTAATCTTTTCAATCCCTGGTTTTTAAATTTTTTTTTCTATTTGGGTTTTCTTGGACTTTTTTTTTCTTTTTTTTTTTCTAGATCCCTGACGTGTGTGTGTGTGTGTGTGTGTGTGTGTGTGTATGTTTGGGGAGGGGTACCTGCACACCCTTTGTAGTCCTAGTAGTTTAGTCTTTCTGTCTGAAATATTATGTCACTTCTGTTTCAGATCCTTATTGTCAAACTAAATTCTCCTTTGATGTTTTTTACTTCCCTTTTTTAATCCAGTCATTTGTTCATTTGGATTGATTCCATGTCCTAGCAATTGTGAATCAAGCTGCAATAAACACAGATGTGCAAGTTTTTTTTTTTTTTTTTTTTTCCTGTAAGGCACACACGCTTGCTGAACAGACAGAGAGAGACCAAAAGACAGAAAGTGAAAAGCATCCCCTGGAGGGATGTCCACACCATAATCTCTTCTCTTCCATTCTCCTTTCAGGATTTTGGGCACATATGCATGCCTGGTATGAGTTTTTTAAGCTGTTGGGTCCAGGACTTGAACTGTTGTTGACTATGTGAAAGTCTAGTGATGTAACCATTACACCATTTGCTGGTCCCAACATAATATATGCTTGTTTTTTAGTTTTTGCTATGAGGCATATGCTGTCAGAGAGAGACAGAGAGACAGAGAGAGGGAGAGAGTGAAGGAAAGTGAGAAATCACCCCCCCAGGGGGATGGCCACACCACAATCTCCTCTTCTCCATTCTCCTTTCCGAATTTTGGGCATGCATGCACATGTCTCCAGTATATTTTCAAGCAGCTGGGTCTGTGACTCAAACCACATTCAGCCACGTGGGATTCCAGCATCTTAATCACCTTGCCACCTGCTGGCCTCCCTCATGATATTTTGATATATGCATACATTGTAAATGGTTAAATCAACATACTCATGACCTTACATATTTATAATTTTTTTGTGTGGAGAGAACATTTAAGATTTATTTCTTAGCAATTTTCAACACAATACATTATTATTAACTATAACCACCATGCTGGACAATAAGTCTCCCCAATTTATTTATTTTGTGTAACTGATACTAGATTAAAAAAAATATAAAACTTCTAAGTTTGTTTAAGGTGTAGAGATTTAAAAAAAAAATTTCTTGGGCCTTTGCATGGTTATGAGGAAGGTAAGTGGAAAGACTCCCTTCTAACCTGCCGACATGCTGCTACACGGCCAGGAGACTGTCCGAGCATCTTAGATGCTGTATTTCCCCCTCCTATTACTGTGTAACATATTACCACAAACATAATGACTTAGAACAGCACACATTTGTTATTTCATAGTTTCCTTGGGTCAGAAATCTGGGCATGGCTTCTGTGCCCCCTCTGCTCAGGTCCTCACAGGGTTACAGTATAGGCTGGCTGGGCTATGTTCTGGTCTGGAGGCTGACTCTGGGATAGTCTACTCCCAAGCTTATTTAGTTAGTTGGAACATTCATTTCCTCGTGGCTATCTGATTGAGGTCCCTGTTTTCTTGCTAGCTGTTAGTTGGGGTCCACTCTCAGCACTCAGAGGCCCCCTTAGATCCCTGTCATGGGCTCCTTCACAGGTGCTCTCACAACACAGCAACTTATTTTCTCCAGTGGGGTAGTTCACTCTGCTCAGAAAGTAAGGCACCTAAATAACAAACTGTTATTTCTCAATGACTCTGAGTTCTTAAGTATTGTGATTAAAAATTTAAAGCATGGGGTTAGACAGTGGCACAGCAGCAAAATGTGACAGTCTGTGAGGCTGACCTACATGGGAAATTTTCTTGTTCAAGTCTGGAAGCCTCCCTGAGTATACTGGGTACACTCTTGTCCATGATTCAGGGCTGGATGACGGCTGGGGTGTGTCGTGGCATTAAGACCCTATAGGGGGTGTTCCTTCTTTTTCTGTCTCTGTCTTTCTCTCTCATAGAAGAAATAAACTTAAAAAACGAATTCAAAGTGTGCTCAGCCACTGTGGCATGTACAGTAGGGTGCCACTATGTGATGCTGGAGCCACATGGGAAGCCCGAGCTCTGACCCAAGGTCAACCTGGTGTGCTGATGTGCACCCATGATCTTGACTGGTTGGGAGGCCGGTGGGGAGGGACTGTGAAGTAAGACTTCATCGAGGGTATCTCTCTCATGAAATAAATAAACTTACTGAAATTTCAGTGATGCTGGGTCGTCGGAAAAGTCATGACATATTTTTGTGTATTTCTCTATGCAAAAATGTGTCATGACTTTTCTGATGACGCAATAGTTTGTATTTAATAATTTGATTTACTTAATTTATAGAAAGTAAGTATTTATCATTTTTTTGTTTTGTTATAGGGCATGTTTGCTCACCAGAAAGAGATGATAAAGATAGATATAGATGAGAGAGAGAGACAGGAGAGAGAGAGAGAGAAATCACCCCCAAAGAGGATGACCACACTGCAGTCTCTTTTCCTCCAGTCTCATCTTGGGATTTGGGGCATGCGAATACCCATGCCCAGTATGATTTTCAAGCCACCAGGTCCAGGACTTGAACCATGTAGCTGGTCATGTAGGATCCAGTTACAGGTAACCTCTAGGTATCCTTTATTTAGTCAGGTACCGTAAGACCTTGTATTTCTTTCTCTTTTTGGGCTGTCATCACACCCTTTATCACTTGGATATTTTTTCTCTTCTAGTATGGACTTCTAAGAAAGTTTCCTCAATTGTCCTTCACTTAATATTTCAAAGATGAAACATTTTAAAGGTTTAACTACTTATTGTGATGGCAAAACATCCAGACTCGTAAATAAAAGTTTCAGATATGAGGATATTGCCAAGGCTCAGGAAATTATTTTTTTGAGAGGATTTTGCTATAGGGCGTATGCACTTGCCAGATAGACAGAGAGAGACAAAGAGACAGAGGGTGAGAAATCACCCCCCAGTGGGGATGGCCACACCCCAATCCCTTCTCCTTCATTCTCCTCTCAGGATCTTGGGCACGCACGCACACGCGCCCAGCGTGAGTTTTAGGCCACCAGGTCCGGGACCCAAACCGTGGTCGACTACGTGGGAGTCTAGCGACATAACCCTTATGCTAACTGCTGGTCCCAGGCTCAGGAAATTTATAAGGTGATGTTTTTGCCACCAACTATAATTCCCTCCCTTGATAGCCGTCTCTCTCTGAGGCCTTTCCCCTAGATCCCCTATATCAGTGGAGGATGGGGCTCATTGAAGCACCTCCTTCAGATGTCGGCGGGTATATGAGACTCTGGGTTCTAAGAGAGGTCTTCCCAGCTCTTGTTCCTGAAGTGTGATTTGGGCCGGTCTGTGTGCAGAACACAACGGATACTCCAGTAGTCTCTCAAGTATGTAGAGGGCTTTTCAGGACTTCTGGTCTGAGCAGGCGTCCTTGGCAAACACTACTGGAAAGTCTTATGTATAAACCTCTTCAGAGAAGATACAAGATTCTGAGAGATGAGAGCTGAAGACTGACCACCACTGCTTTGAGTGGGTGATGGGGGCAGAGAGCCTTGGTTTGTTTCGGAGAAACAGTTTGATGTTGAGGTGGAAATGGTAAGATGGCTACAGGGTCAGAATCTGTTCTAGTGATGATATACTGCCAGCTGCTTCCTGGGATCTCCTTCCATCCTGCCCCTGCTGGTGACCCTGGTGGAAAGGGGCTGAGTGGTGGTGCTGGTGAGTGATCTCAATCCACAGCCTTCAACTTCTTTGGGGCAGATCTGTCTTCATGGCAGGAAGTTCCCAGATGTTGGGGACACAACCCCCAGGTCTCCCAGGAACCCTGGCTGGGCTTACTGAGAGCTGGGACCAGGAAGGAGCTCAGGGAGTGTTGGGCAATCGGGCCCTTTCCCAGGGAGGAGGTGCCTGGGCTGATTCACTGGGTGGGTCCCTGTCACCAGAGTGTGGTCCCACCTGAGTTCCTCTTGGTGCTCTGGATGGTGCTGGGGACAGAGCCAGCCAGCTCAGAGCCTTAGCCCTCTGCCCTCTTCCTTCCCTCCATCTTTTGTTAAGGGTCCCAGGCTTTCCTTTTCTCTCTGGGAAGCCAGGTCCTGAGGGCTCCATTCCTAGGAAGGGAGTGCCCTCTAGTGCCAGAGAGAGTGCGGGCTGGAGGAGGAGGTAGCAGATGGAGGAGCTTGGGACTGAAGTTTGAAAGGGAAGCAGCTGCCCGCTGGCCAATGAGGGGCCATCCCACTGCAGCCTGACCTGTGGGCTGGGGTCGCAGGAGCCACAGGTACTTCTGGGTGTGAGTGTGAATGTGTTTTTTTTTTTTTTTTTTTCTCCTGAAGTCCTTTCTCATCATAGGGATAGGATTCTACTAGGCTAAAATGTGTACATAGTAGAGAAAGTTCCCCTACCCTTTCCTTTTGAGCTACCAACTAAGAAAACTTTGTCTGTTCTAAGTTCTTCTAAATGACTTTGGTTATATCACTTTTGGGACTTTCTTGTCCAGGCTGAGGGTCCTGGGGTTATCTCTACCTGATTTCTCCCCTTTATGTTAAACCCGGAATCCCTGTCCACTATGTATCACTTGTCTCCTATTCTAATGTTTTATGATATGTATTTTTTTTTTTTTTGCATAGCATGCACAGCAATGCCAAGGTTCCCCTACCTTGGTTCCTGCCGACCTTACCTGCTCAGTTTGTAGTTCAGGGAATGGGTAGAAGACACTACCGGCTCTGTCCCTGGCAAGATCAGTGGCTGGGTTCAAGTATCAAAACTTTAGGTGTATGATGTGACAAATTTGGGACAGGATTCCCCACATTCACTTTTGTGGCTAACTATGTGAACACCACCCAAACACTACCCAAAGCTATTGTTGACCAGCATTGATAGTGGCTTCCAGTAGCTTTTCAGAGGCCAATTCCTTTTCTGGAAAGACTGCCTGCAGGGCTTTGATTCTGGACAAGTTAACTCTCACCTCTCATTTTGGAGACTGAATATTTTCCCATGTATTTATTAGATGACTACCTCACTTGCGATGGTCTCATTTTGTCCTTAAAGCATAGCTTTTCTTTTCTTTTCCTTCCTTCCTTCCTTTCTTTCTTTCTTTCCTTTTTTTTTTTTTTTGAGAAGTTTTTGTTATAGGACACATATGCTGACCAGAAAGACAGAGACAGAGAGACAGAAAGCAAGAAATCACCTCCCAGAGGGGATGGCCACACCACAATCCCTTCTCCTCCATTCTCCTCTCAGAATCTTGGGCATGCATGCACACGCGCCCGGCGTGAGTTTAAGCCACCAGGTCTGTAACTCAAACGGTGGTTGACTACATGGGAGTTCAGTGACATAGCCATTACGCCAACTGCGGGTTCCAAGCATAGCTTTTCTGAATGAATGAAATCTTAGGTATTATTATTCACTAAGAGATTGCTTGTCTTGATCCAGGAAGCTCTATATGCTCAAGTCTTAAACTGTGGTTCTCCAAACTTTCTCTCTGGGTTAGGGTATAAAAGCCCTGGAGGGTGATGATTTATCCCATTTTATCCCAAACATCCCTCTACAGTTTCTCAGTAGGATAATGGCGGGGGGGGGGAGTTGATGCTTTGTTTGACAGCTCAGGGGGTTAATATTTCATTTTGATTGAGCATGAGTAAACCGTTCATTTATGTCTTTAAGAGCAGAAGAGGTTCCTGGAGCTTGAAAGGACTACGTTGAGAATTCTCATCACTGGAAACTCAAACAGATTGTGAAGTTCCAGGCAGAAACCGATAGATTTAGGTATGAATCTGGCTCCACCCTTACCAGTTGAGGTACTTTGGGCAAGTGACTTAAACTCTCTGAGACCCAGTTTCCTGAAGATAAGTGCAAGTCTCACAGGTCATTGTGAGACTTCTTAATGAAATATTCATGGTATCTTCAGCAAATATCTAGAAAATAGGAGAAAATCATTACATGATAACTGATCTTGCTATTATTATTCTCAGTCAAGAGGAGGTTCATTGAGCCTCTGTCAGGATTTGCAGAGCAGAGGACTGAATCAGATGGCTTTACATCCTCTGACTTGCAAACAGTGCAGAGGATGAAGCCCATGCTTGCCTATATTCATAGTTCACTCCCTCTGAGCCTCAGTGTTTTTATCTGTAAAAATGGGGCTCAATGGGCTGGCTTGATGGCCCATGGTTAAGGGAACTGAATCCCACATAGCTGACCATGGTTTAAATACCAGCCATGGTGGCTTGAAAAACACTCTGGGCACATGTGGATGTATGCCCCAAATCCCATTAGGATGGAACAATGGAGAAGGGGTTGTGGCATGACCAACCTGTTAGGGTTGGGAAGCACTTCCTCCCTCTCTTTTTTCCTCTGTCTCTTTCTGGTGAGTGCATGTGCCCTTTGGCAAATAAAAAAATGGGCTCAGAATATTTATTCTACAGGAATTTTATAAGGATTAAATATAAAATAGTAGCACTCAATGTGAAAATATCTACATGGGATTTATTTATAACAGCTACTCAGGAATTTTTAAAATTACTTTCTACCCCAGAAGGCCTCATATTATGGACTATGCTCCTGTAAGAGACTCGGAGCTCCCAGGACAAGAGGAAGTGGGTGGGGAGTGGGATGGCTAGATACAGGTGTTAGTGGCCTCACTTTTACTGAGCACCTGTATGTGCAAGGGGACCCTGTGAAGTCTGAGCCCAGTGTTGGCCTCAGGAGGCCCACAGTATGGCAAGAGAGGCAGATAGTGGCACCATGCAGTAGGTAGGTGCTCTGTTTACAGAGCACGGTTGTGTTAATTAACTCCGAGTGTCTCTTGCAGGGCAAGCTGTCCTCTCAAGGCCACTGTCCACATCCTCCTTATCCATCTCCTGGGACCACGTGAGGATGCTGCCATGGCTTCTTGTCTTTTTTACTCTGGGGCCCCAGGCTTGGGGTAAGTTTTCTTTCTTTCATCATAAGTGCTCTTGGCGAGCAACAGATGACCATTCTCAAGTTGAGTAATAGAAATTCACCTAGAATTCTCCTTCTGCTGGAAGACTGTCTAGTTTTGCAATTTGAAGCACTATTCTGGGGTTTACAGATTTTCATTCAAATTCTTGCTCTGTCATTTTCTATGGTCTTCAACAAGTTGTTCAATTTCTTTGAGTCTTATTTGCTCCCCTGTGTAAGGATAATATCACTAATTTCTGAGAGTAGTTTTTGAAGATTAAATTAGGTAACAAGTGTGAACCTTTTAGCACGATACTCAAGCAATAAGTGAGGTAAATTGTAATATGACTTAATTATTATCACCGCCATTGTTATATCAATCATAGTTAAATCCAGCACTTGGGTCCAAGCAAAAGCAAATTCCTGGAAAGTAGCAGTGCCGTTTTTTTACATCAAAAATATTGGAAATTAACGTGGTGATTCTTAAATATCAAATGTGCTTTTCCTGTTACCTTCCACGCATAGACACTACTCTGAAAGAATGATGCGATATAGCTCTCTCTCTGCCCTCTGAGATTCAGCTCATTTAATGGGGTTACTTAGAGTCAGTGTTGGAGAAACTCATAGATCAGGGAACACATAGTTCAGACTTTCATTTGATGAATGGAGACACTGAGGCCCTGAAGGGGCCAAATAAGGCAGCAAGTTGTGTTTGGCCGTCACCTGGGTCCTGGCTCCTGCTGTGCACTGTCCTGCCCACTGGTGTCAGCTCTGGCCTGAGGGCCGTTCTTCCACCTGAGAGTCCTGTGGGCTTCCCTCAGAAGTCATTGTCTTCAGTGATGACAGCACTGCCCAGCCCCAGGTCCCTCTTCACAGCCCGGTTCGGGTTCTCTCTCTTGCTGAGATGAGCTCCTAACCTCAGCAGTCTCTCCAGCTTCCCAGCACACCTCGGCCCCAGTGTCATATCCAGCCACTTGCTTTTGATTTCATAGAAAAACAGCTCTCAGACCATGGAACTTTCAGTAATTTTGTCTAAAAGACAGAGACTTGTTGGAGTCCATCGACATCTGTGGGGAGGCTGCGACATGTTCTGTCCATTGCTTAAAATCTGTAATTTGTTGGACAAGTAACAGCACTTCTAAGCCTCTGTTTCCCACCTGCATAGAAGGAGCAGTTATTCGGCTTCGCTTCCCTCATGAAGTTGTTCTGAGCCACGTTTCTGACACCCACCTTGAACATGCTTTGTAGACACAGAGTTGGCCTGTGGGGGTTGATGCTGGTGATGACAAAGCAACTGTTGGTTACATTACATAAAGGTGATGACTGATCCTCGATAAATTCGGTCCAAAATATCTGGGTTTTGACTGCAGTCATAATGGTCTGTACATTCCTGTTTCAGTAACCTTGCCAGGCACCAACAGGTGTTTAATCCATGCAGAAGTGCTAGCTCAGAATATTGATGACCTTCTGGATATATGCCATTCTTATGGGTACCCATGGATCAATTAGCAGCTATGCAGGTGAAACAGGAAAAGCAGCACCACTCAGAGAAACTTTAGTGCTCCTGGGATAAAGAGGGGACCAGAGGAGGGTGAGGAGGATAAAGACCTTTTTGGGACAGGTGTGGGAGGCAGAAGGAAGCTGAGACAAGAGTCATCCGTGGTTCTCCTCTGTGTTGTTTCCTGGAGGGTGGGCTATGGACCATGGGGTGAGGATGTCTGCCTGGGTCACTGAGCCTGCGGGCCAGGTGTTCTCCAAGGACCAGCACCAGTGTTTCCTTGCAGGGGATCTCTCCCAGTTCTCCTGGAATAAAACCCAAACAAGGGAGTCCCCCGAGAAGGTTCTGGACTTGTTCAGTGGTATCTCACAGCTCATTCACAAAGGTAACAAAGGTGAGTTCATTTGGGGATTGGCTAGAGCTTCTTACATGTTCAGAAATGTTTCTTAAACTTGATTATATCTGGATTGGGAGTGAATAGGGTGGTTAGTCCTACAGAACTCACCTTTGCCCAAGGGAGGAAAAGAAGAGAAAATGCAGGTTAAAAAGAGAGGAGAAGGGGTCTGAACACAGTGGCACCACAGTGACAATGCTCTGTGAGGCTGACCTGCATATGAAGGTTCTGGGTTCCTGTCTGGAGACCTTCCTGGGTATGCTGGGCCCACACATGATGGTGGCCTGAGTCTGGCTGAGGCTAGGGGTGGATTATGGTGTGAGGATTCTACTGGGAGTGCTCTCTTTCTCTCTCAAGAAAAAAATAATGTATAAATTAACAACAACGACAAAAGGTAAAAAAAAAAAAAAAAGAAGAAAGGAAAGAATGAGAAAAGAAGGAAAAGAGAAAACTCAGGGAGAAAAGACTTGTCTTCTACTCTCCAGTACTCAGTCTGAGAATGGAGACGGCTGTTCCTCAGAGAGCTCCCAAAATGCAGATGGGGAAGGGGAGCCCACCAGGACGCTGCATTCCTGGGTGGAGAATCTCAGTCTTGCTTCTTGTAAGTTTTTCTCTGGAAGAGAGAGACAAACACCCTACATGGGCTCTGGAGCCTCTGCTTGAGGAGACTGGCAGGTTCATGAAGTTAGAGACCAGGGGCAAATTCCAGTGCATTCCAAATGCATCTTAAGGCACCTGTGATGAGATGAAGCTAGGACTCTGGGTCTGGGTGTGGAGTGTTGGCTGGGGTTGCTTTCTGAAGGAGGGGAGCAAGAAGCAGCCTAGAGAGGAGGTGAGTGTGGGATTTGTCCTCTAGGAAAATGCAAGGAGAGATTGTCTCAGCAACAAAGCAACTTTCCTCCCCAGGCTGAGGCAGTCTGGGTGTTTGTTTAACACAAATGGAGTTATGGAGGTGAGAAGAAGAGGCTGAGGGTGCTGAAGGCTTCCTCCAGGGTCTCACCTCCATAGTGGGGCATGGCATGGGAGGTCTCAGGGAGGCATGGGCAGCCTGAGGGGGAAATGGGGGAAATGCAGCCTCCTGTATGCCATCCTGTGGTCTCCCTGCAGATGTTCCCCCTATGGTTGCCCGCAAGGAGTGGGGAGCAAGACCACTCACCTGCAGGGCCCTGCTGACCCCGCCTATGGCCTACGTGATCACAGATCAGCTCTCAGGGATGGAATGCCAGGAGCAGAACTCTTGCAGCAAGATGCTGTTGGACCTACAGTTTCATTCTGTCTTCACCAAAGGCCAGTGTGACGTGGCCTACAAGTAAGGCTGGTGAAATCCCCAGAGCCCATTTTCAAAGTTACTCCCTCCCCTTAGGGTGCTTCCCACTTCTTCTCTGTTCTCCCAGTTGTCTGGGCTCCTTTTATGCTGCTTTTATAGTGAATAAAAGATGTTTAAAAAAATGAAAGAAAATCTAAAATCCTCCAGGGATCCTTAGGAGGGACTACACTAAACTGTTCATTTAAGTGGGTTTTGGTCCTGGGAGCTCTTGAAAAGAAGCAAGTAGGGTTTGCAATCATCATAGGTTCCCACCTGGAGCTCATCTAACACATGCTTATGAAAGTCCTCGTGAGTGTTACACAGGTGAGCCCTTTTACCGACTCTGAGTAATGGGTAGGAGAAATACCACCTTCCTTATTTCACAGGTCAGAACGTTGTGGTCTAGGGCAGTGGAAGAATTTTATCGAGGTCATGCAACTAGAAAGCATGGGCCTAGAACTGTGCCAAGACTGCCTGTTAGTCCAGCCCCTATTCCACTTCTCACACAGGCAAGGCTGGTGCCCTGTGAAGCAGCTTCCCACTTGTTATCCTGAAGGGCCACCTGACAGGAGGCCGAAGGCCACATGGTGGAGAGCAGGTATTGGGATGGTGGAGAGGAGAACACACATTGAAACAAATATGAGGCTTAGAAGGTCCTGCCATTGTGCAATGATGATTAAGTATGAGGATGATCAGTTGGTGTCTGGAACTTATTCTCATTTATTTTCAAGAATGAGGATGCATGGGATTCATTTTGAGAAATGTGTCATTAGGTGATTTCATTGTTGTGTGAACATCATAGAGTGTATTTACACAAACCTGAATAGTATAGCCTGCTACACACTGAGGCTGTGTGATGTGGCTCATTCTTATCCTCTGGGACCACTTTCTTACATGTGATTTGTCCTTGACTACAACATTGGTCCAAGACCACATGTGTGTGTGTGTGCGCGCGCATATGTTTCTACTAAATTCCTGTGGTATTCATACTGTATCTTTGCCTTTAGAGTGTTTTCACATTTCTTATAACAAGGTTTAACACACACACATATATTGCTTTCATAATATGTACACACACACACACACACACAAGTGTTGGAATGGGACTTTTACCTACTGGATTTTAAAGACAAATATAAATGTTTTTTTTTTAACCTATTGGATTTTAAAGACAAATGAATGATTTCTGAATTATCCATTTTGGAAAGGATAATCCACATCTTATTTGTTTTTAAACACAAATAAGAAAGAGCAGCTGGAGGCCTTGGTGTACCCCCCAGTGCCCCTAGGTGGCGGGGTTGTCCTGTCTGTGGATGCTGTATTAGCTACAGCCCTTCTGCTGCCCCTGCCACCACTCTGCCCGGTCACTGCTGCATTACCTCCTTCAGCCGCAATTCTGATGAGTTCAGCCACTGCCTCTGTAAGCCATGTTCCTGTAGGGACAAATTAACCATCTCTAGTTTTACACTGTAGCTGACTGTAGCTATGAGGGATTATTCACACTGACTGACCAGACTGAGTGACAGAGGAGTCTGTGACTTCTGTAGAACTGAAAGAACCAAAAGGACTGACAGTGAGGCCAGGGTGGATGTGCTTGGGCTTCCAAACCCACACCTCAGGCTGATGTCAATGCAGGGTGGAAAGGAGGTCAGGCTCAATTTGGGGTCTTTGCTTGACTTCAGGGAAATGTTCTTTCTGTGTTGGGTTTGCTGTGGAAACTCATGATCTGTTAGAAGCAGAATATGGACAGAGTTGTGAAAATATCAGTCCTAAAGACTGTCATTGGAAAGTGGAGGACTAGCGATTAAAAAAAGGCAGAAATATAAGAACAGGTAGAATAAAAGAAAAAAATACTTTTTAAATAAAGTTTGTTTTCATCCATGATAGAAACCATGTGTGTGTGTATGTGTGTGTGTGTGTGTGTGTGTGTGTGTGTG